GTGTGTGTGTGTGTGTGTGTGTGTGTGTGTGTGTGTGTGTGTGTGTGTGTGTGTGTGTGTGTGTGTAGCTGGTTGTCACCCCACCAAGCCGAACCTAGAGAGTGTTATTAGGAAACAGTGTGGTCTCTTAGGCCTGCCAGCGTGCACACACACACACGCACACACAAACACACAGTATGTGGTGCAACGTGGCAGCAGTAATGTGAGACTGTCAGAGCCTGGAGTCACATTAGTAAGTATTCAGTGCATGGTGGGCTTCTTGGCTCCTCATACCTTGGCTTTCACAACACACACACACACATTTTGAATTCCATCAGGCAGATAACTCTCACTCGCACTTTCTTCATGAACAAAAACAATCAGTTTTCATCCTGACTTTACCTGCGGGACCAGGAGCGCACAAACTGAAAACGCATCCCTGTCTTCCCGCCTCTCTCCTCAAACTCTACCTGCTCCTCTCTCTGTCTCCCTCCCTCCCTCTCTCTCGCTCTCCCTCTTATAAATGTACACATAAACAAAAACAAGAGCATTACCAGAAAAATTGGATCTGATCGGAATGCTTGATACGCAGCAGACCAAATCCCAGAGGTGCCCTTATATCTTTCCACTTCCTACTGCGAGCAGCAGAATTACGCTCCTGTTCCTCAACACCCGCTCGCTGCCTCCTCACTCTAATCACAGCGAGAGGAGCACAGGCAAAAACGCCTGGAGCCATGCCGTATGTGTGTATGTGTGTGTGTGTGTGTGTGTGTGCCCCCACCCACATACACTGTGGAAACACCCACCCACTGAATCATACACGCATAAACATTCATTTCTGTGTGAAATAGAGGAGGGCGGCGGAGAACAAGAGGATCAGTGGAGCAGCTCTTTGTCAGAGAGGTAACAGGAGAGGTGACAGACCGCTCTGCGAGTGTGTTAGGGTGTGTGTTTACCTGTTTAGTCATGGAGTCTATGAGTCGAACATAAAAGTCCTGCTCTGTTCTGATGCCTGTTGGGATCCAGAGGAAGGGAGAAATATTGTAAACTTTACACATATTTTAACACACAGTGCAGCACGTTGCAGGGCATTTAAAATACGTGGAATTAGGTTAGCAAAGTGGCAGCAGCGGGAACAAGGAAACGAGATTAACGTCATTTACAGCAATAAGCTCGCAATAAATAAACAAAGGAGCGGGGCAAACGTAATTCTGACTCGCAAATTCTTTCTTCTTAAAGCTTTTATTAATGTTTCCTATTTAGGCCTGAAATATGAGTCAGTGGAGAACAGTCTGAGAGCAGACAGTCATTCTTTGGTTTAAACGCTCACACTTGCGACTTGACACACAGTGGCTCCTTTTTAACGAGGCAGAAAGGGGTTGTGAAGAAGGTGAGAGGCTTATTAAAGATCAGCCAGCAGCTGCTCATCAGTTCAGTGTGAAAATAAATGTTGTTCAGCTTCTGCATTTCTCTCTGCTGCGATGCAAGCCTTACGCCAAGCCGGCTGTATCCATATAGCTCCCAAATCACACGAAAATCACACGTTTAACTCGGCATAGTTTACACAACACGAGACCTTGGGCGTTCAGCCCCGTGTTAAGGTGGTAAATAGATTCAAACACCTTGTTTGTTGACTTATCTGATAAATTGCTTGTGCCTATTCTGACTCCCAAATATCAACACATGCGAGACACGAATTGTAGCTATTGTTTATTACACAGGAGGCTGGTGCTGTGATGTCCCTGCTTGGGTTAGAGTGCAGCTCACACTGTCAAAAAATTATTTAAAAAAGAAAAAGCAAAAGAAAAATAAAGAGCACATAAAACTGGACAAACTAATTTAGGGACAGTGACAGCAATGAAGCCACAAAGCTGGGTCACATCCTGTAACAGCTGCCTTGAAATTTGACTAATAGAAGTCGGTCACGTTACACAATCGTGAATCTCTGCCCTGCAATTTCGTTGACATAAATTCTGGAAGCCTTGATAACCCATTGCAACATTTTTTTTTTTACTACTTTGAGGACAGGACCCCCCCCCCCCCCCCCCCCCCCTCAAGAATCAGCTGCTGCCTCTGTGAATATCATTAAGTGTCTGATAAAATAAGACATGAAGCTGATCTGGCAAAGCTGACTCTAACTATGCATGCATATATATATATGTGAGTGTGTGTGTGTGAGTGTGCCAGTCTGCTCACCATTACTGTAAAGAAGCTGTAGCCTGTAATGAATCCCGTTATTGGTCTTCTCTCCGCTGGTCTCCTTGACACACACACAACAAACACACAGCTGTTTATGGAAAATTTAACACCATTTAAAAAAATAGCAAGAAATACATTTTTTCCTGTTTTCACATGTAGGCTAGTGAAGCATACATCCAACTTAATGAATTCTTTACAGCGGTCTTGCATTAAATAAAAGCTGATTTATGCTCAGAGGAGTGCAGCCCTGTAATTTCTCCGTGTGTAATCGTGGTGTTATTGTGGATTTTTAATTCCTGCGTAATTACTAGTTGTGTTCGGAGGGCCAATAAATCCAACACGGAATTCTCCCGATACATTTCATCTAATTTAAGCCAAGTCATAATTGATGAGAAGCCCGGGCTGCAGCGCCGTTGTTTATATAGAACAAGTGGTTGGGTTGAATGGAGCTGTAAATTAAAACAATTTAAACTCCAAAAGGCATTTTTTTTTAATTTATCAAATACACACGAGGGTTTAAGGAGGTTTGTGCCTTACAGTAAATGTATAATGCTTATAATATTGTATTTTTAGTTTTTAATAATAATAATAATATAAATAATAAGAATAATAATACAAACAATTAAAGGACAGGTAGTTCATTAAAATGGGACGTTAAAAATTCATTCAATAATGTCAGAAACCAAATTTAATATTCGAGGCCTTCACAAAATCTCAGTAATCTTCCTTCATCTAAAAACTCTTAAGACCAACGTGTATTTCTGAACCGACCTTCTCTTTTTCGATGAAGTCCACGAAGCTCGTCCTCTCGATCTCCACCGGCTGGCCCTGCCGGTCGTACAGAGCCAGGACGAAGTGGAAGAAGTTGGACTTCCGCAGGTTGGAGGGCGGCTGCTTCTCAAAGTGAGCCCGAGCCAGACCCACTCCACTGCAGACACACAGACGGAGGGGGTGTTAGAAGCAGTCAGAGGATGTAAAGTTTTTATGTTGCAAAAATTAGAAAAATTCAAAATTAATATAAGAAGGAAAGCAAATTAAATAATAATAATTATGTAAAGTTAACCTAAAATAAATAAATAAAAACAAATAATAAAAACAAACCTAAAGGGCCTACAAGCACTGAAAGTAAAATCCAGCTTGTGCTCTCTTTTTTTTGGCAGATTTTCCTCTTATTTTAAAGATTGTGATTATGAAAGCTGCCTGTTTTATTTAATTATCTCCTGAATCTGTAAACCAACTTGAAGCACAAACTTGCTGTTCGCGTAAAGGGGAGATCGTGATATATCCACGTTTACTGTGACTGGCTGTGGTTCAGTTGGAGAATTTTATTCCCTTCTAATAAAACAACGAGTAAGTTTGAAAATGGGGGGAAGTATAGGATTTATTTTTCTCTAGCACAGGACTGCATTTATGTATTTGTTCTTTGTTTTAATCCTTAATAAATCGCATCTGAAACATATGCGGAAAAAATAATCTCTAGACCAAGCACATGCTGCTTACAACTGTTTAGTTAATGACAGCTTGTGTGGTAGAATTGTTCTGAATGAGATTATTAATTCTACAGATGATTTTATCAGCAGTTGAATGGACAGATTTTTTTTCGGACTGCTGCACTTCCATTCCCAAAGTCTCAATTCTTGTACAGCTGCAGTATCCTGGAGGAGAACACGCAGGCTGATTCCATCTTTCGGTAAATGAGTGATGGTGGAAGTGCTCCTCACTTAGGCACAGCTCACCTTTGGGCGGCCGTGTTGGCGTCCAGCACGCCGCCCCCCTGCATCCAGCTCCGGACGTTCATTCCTCCCAGCGGCTCCTCTTTCAGGCTGCTGCCGCTTCTCTGGATGCTCTCCTGGATTCCAAACATTAACAAACCTCCTGAGCTCGATGCAAGTCCCTCCGTTTGCCTCTCTCCTCCCGGCTTTGCACTTGTTCTCTGGCGGATCCCTTTCAGTGACTCGAGCGGAGGAACCTTGAGACGCACTCTTGCTGCTGGTGCTGCGTGCGCTTAGAAAGACCTCAATCCAGCGTGCACCCTTTATTCCACTTTCTCTTGTCCTGAGGAGGGAGTTGGTGCTAAAACGGTAGGCGAATCATAATAAGTCATAAAATCCAGAACATCCAAGCACTTAAAAAAAAAGGGTTAAAAATCGCACGCCCTGTGCGTAAAATATGTGTGTAGGGTGGAAAAAGTCACTCCTGGTGCGCGTGGAAACCCACCGCTTTGGGCTGTCACAGAGAAAAAAACAGAGAGATCAGCTAGTACCCGGATCAGATGTCATCATTTTCTGACACTTCTTTCTTCCTCTTTTTTTTGCTCTCGCTCTCGTCTCTGCCTCAGCTCAGTGGTCCGGGACGCGCTGGCGTCGGTGATGTCCAGAGCTGCGCTGCTTCCCGCGGAAGACTCCCGAGCTCTCGCTACTCCGCTCTCTCTCTCTCTCGCTCTCCCTCTCTCTCAGAGGAAACCGCTTTGTGACTCTTCCCAAAGGACCCTCTCTGAACCAAACACGGCTTCTCCCGCCCCGGGGGGAGAGAGAGAGAGAGAGCTGGGATGGAAAGGGAATGAGGGGAGGGGACAGCACGGGAAGAGAAGCGAGGAGACGCCCCCAAACAAAGAATAGAGAGGAGTTAGGTCTGCCCCGCGTGCAGCGGCCACGGAACTCCTTCTCCCGCTGTCCTCCTCCGGTCCGCTTTCTCCTCGTTTTTTGAGGGGAGGATTTCTAATAAACGTTTAGAAGGTTTTCTGTAAATGTGGAGATGAAGTCCTGCGTGAATCCGTGCTGAAAGTTCAGATAGAGGAGCTGAAAAAGGAGGGGGGGGGGGGGGGCAACGGCACTTCAGCAGAGTGGACATCACAGGGCAATCTCAGACATTTAACCAGCGTGGGCAGTTTCGTTCTAGTCTATCCAAGAACAGAACAAACGCCCCAAAACACGATTTTAATCTTTCTGTCTCCATGACTCAAACCTTAGTCGCAGATTTAGTTTTTGTTTAAAATCATAGTAATTAAATAATGTAGCGACCCCACACCCCCACGAAGAAAAGAAGAAGAAAAATAAGGTATGTTCGACCATAGTCCCGAGTCCACATCCTATTAGTCTATTTCTCGAGGCAGACCCGCAGCCTCTACATTTAGATCAAAGTTTTATTTACACCAGCTGGTTAGGCTCAATTATAAAAGCCACATTTCCTCGTCACAACATATCCCTGTTCCCCCCATTGTCTTCCTCGGGCCTGCTTATTGCAGCCTAGCGCCGCAAGACACACAAACAAAAGTGACAATAACAATAATTAGCTCAAAATAACAATGAACATAATTGAGGATAATTGCTACCAGATTTCCCCGCTTTGTTTCTCCCTTTAGCACCATCTGTTATTTGAAACAATTTATCACGCCGCCGAGGGGGGATTTAAACTAAATACAAATATTAATAGATAATTCGGTGGACTGTTTTTTTAATACAATAAACTGCGGCGTATTGATCTGTTTAGGTGCAAAAGGTCAACAACTTTAGCGGTGTTCGGCTGGCTGTGAAAATGACTGGCAGGGCGCACTGGCGCCGTTCCAGGCTTTTATTCCCAAAGGTTATTGAAAAACGTTCTTGACCTTGATTATGGAGAATAAGAGTCTTTTATGCTTCAGTTTTCTTGCTTATAGAGGAAGAAGGAGACGGTGGCGGATGAACCCGTGTGGGATATAAAGAATTTCATAGCTGAGGAGAAAATAATAATAATATAATGGAATGAATCAAAAATTGAGAGGTGTGAGAGGTGTTTGGATCGATCGGGAAGAAATCAAACACGTGTAACAGGAACAGATGATCCAAAAATAATAACGAACATATTTATCACCGCGTGTCAGCTCATGTAGGCCCACAGCTAAACTGTGGAGGAAATAAATGCTTGTGAATGTAATCAAACAGTGTTGGTTAGTCACTTTTTCAATTTTCAAAATATCAGATATGATTGGTGAGGTTTCAGGAAGAAATATCGATTTTTAAAAAAGACTCTTTAAATTTCAGGTCATTAAAGTCAGGTTTGGTATATTTGCTCTCGAGGGACTATAAAGGAAATACGGTATCAAAAGGCCACGGAGGTGTAATTGGGCATCACAGGTGGGGCTTTTAATACACAAGTGTTAAAGTATTTAAGATTTCTGAGGCAAAATTCGGTGTTTAATAAAACGCATTCAGAAATAGACATTTTTGAGTTAATGCAGGAATGTTCATGAGCACTGCGGGAGATGTCAGATTAAAGAAAAACGCTCAGATAAAACACCGGTACTAACTTAGTGCGCGCAGTGATTCCCAACAGTGCGGGGACACAAGTAGTCCAAGGAATGTGTGAGTGTGTGTGAGTGTGCGTCCAGCAGCGCTGTGGCCTTGGATTAGAGCCCAGCTAATCTAAAAACTAACACAACTGCGCCATCATGTGTTCACATCGTGCAATTGCAGAAATAACCCAAAAGTTGTAACGTCAAAATTAAACGGATGTAGTGCAACCTGTGATTATGGTGCAACATCTCCTTAAGCCGACATCACAATCACTAAATTCTTTGAGCCGTCAGCTTGTTTTCACTTTAACAGTCTTTTTACTCTATTTAGTCTGTTAAAGTAGAAATACTCAGTGTCCTGTGTAAGAACGCTAATGCACAAAGTACAATTAAATGTTAACATTATTTTACTAGCAAGAATGACCCTGCCTTCACAAAAGTACAAAACTGCTTTACATACACTCACCAGCCATTTTATTAGGTACACCTGTCTTGCGACAGATTGGTGACGTGTTCAGGCTTTATGCCGCCTCTCATATACGCTCAAAACAACATCCCGGCAGCCGCCTTTGTCAGCCCTCAGCCTCCTAGATGCACGTGTGGTACAAATGTGAAAATCCTAGGTGACTTCCTTCTTGTGTTATCGCAGTCATAAACTTGGGTGTCCCCTGACCATACCTTTCCAGGCTTTCGTGGCTGATGGGTAAAATGATTCTTGAACATGAAGGAGTAATTTTGAGTAAGAATTTGGTGACCGTGTGTGAATTGTAGCCTCAGTTTCCAGGTCTTAGCTGACAGCAGTGGCACCCAGTGTGGTCTTCTGCTTCAAGGTTTGATGTGTGGTTTGTTCAGAGATGCTCTTCTGCATTACTTGGTTGTAATAACACTGTAAAAAAAATGTAGACTTTATGGTAAATTACTGGCAGATGTGGTTGCCAGAATTTCAACCTGAAAAATCAATTGTAAATGTAGAACACGAAACGGTATACTATTCTGGTAACCTTGAATTTCACAGTAAAGATTTTTTTTTTTTTTTTTTACAGTAAATAACTATGAATTTAAAAATAAATTATAAAATTCTTTATGGGTAATTCATGTAAAAACAACATACACTCAATTAACCTGATTACAGTCTTACATTGTTAAATACAGTGAAACTGTATAAAATAAATATTAAAAAGTTCAATATTACAGTAAATTACTGGCAGCCGTTGTTTACCTGAATGTTACTGTGGAAAATATAGTGCAGAATACATAATGGTATACTTTGTTGATAAATGTAAAATTCACAGTGAACTGTTGTTTTTTGTACAACAATTACATTGAAATAAAAAAGTAATATGATGTAAATCTGTTGTCAATATACACTTTTAATAAGCTTGATTACAGTCTCCTATTGAAAAAGTACAGAAGAGCTGTATAATACAATACATTTTGTTATTTAAAAGTTCATATTTACATACAATAACTGTTGTAGCCAGAATGTCCCCGAAAAAAATTAAGGTCCTACAAATCAGAATCAGAATCAGAATACTTTATTGATCCCTGGGGGAAATTATTTTTTGTTACAGTGCTCCATTATAAACCAACATTAAGACAAGACAGACAATACACTAACTAAGAATAGTACAATATACACATATATATACATACATACATACATAAGTCACTCATAAATAAATAGCTGAAAAAGAAACGTGTAGTTGTAGCAGCAAACAGTGTGTTAAGTGGATGCGTTGTACAGGGAGATGGCCACAGGCAGGAAAGACTTCCTGTGTCGTTCAGTGGTGCTTTTCGGTAATCTCAGTCTCTCACTGAACGTGCTCCTGTGACTGACCAGCATGTCATGGAGTGGGTGGGGGGTGTTATCCAACATTGTCTTTATCTTGGACAGCATCCGCCTCTCCGACACCACCTTGAGGGAGTCCAGCTCCATCCCCACAACATTGCTGGCCTTACGGATTAGTTTATTGAGTCTGTTGGCATCTGCGACCCTCAGCCTGCTCCCCCAGCATGCAACAGCATAGAGGATCGCACTGGCCACAACAGACTCATAGAAAATCCTCAGCATTTTCCGGCATATGTTGAAGGACCTCAGTCGCCTCAAAAAATAGAGACGACTCTGGCCCTTCCTGTAAAGTGCTGTGGTGTTTTTAGCCCAGTCCAGTTTATTGTCAATGTGTACTCCAAGGTATTTATAGTCCTCCACAATGTCAACACTGACCCCCTGGATTGAAACAGGGGTCAAGTGTTTCCTGGTCTTCCTGAAGTCCACGATCAGTTCCTTGGTCTTTGCCACGTTGAGCTGCAGATGATTCTGCTCACACCACGTGACAAAGGAGTCGACCACAGCCCGGTACTCCGTCTCATCATCCCTGTTGATGCATCCAACCACCGCAGAGTCATCAGAAAACTTCTGAAGATGGCAGGTCTCTGTGCAGTGGCTGACATCTGTGGTGTAGAGGGTGAAGAGGAAGGGGGAGAGGACAGTCCCCTGTGGTGCCCCTGTGAGGCCACCAAATGAGGTAATAAACATAATGTGGCCGATTGGCAAAAAAAATTACATTCAGTTATAATTTGCTAGAAACATTAATAAAAACCAATAGAAACAATGATTAAACAGTTTATATTAAATAATCAAATTAATGACTAAAAAGGCACTAACATAATTAATATTAAACTTAATACAACCAACAACAAAAATGTACATAATAAACAGTCAAATCAAATTTAAAACACTTGATACTTGCAGTGGTTGACAAAGTTTCTTTTTAACCAGACTTGACAGTAGAGGGCTTTCAAGTCTCTGATGGTGTTGTAGGAACTAGAACAAGTTTTGGATCTAATGTGTTTGAGGACATAAAGGATTCTTAATTTTTTCAGAAGAAACTAATGGATTGTTAAATACAGTCCTGATCAAAAGTTTAAGACCACTTGAAAAATGGCAAAAAAAATAATAAGAAGAAAATCATATTTCTATGGTTGGTTCTTAACAAGTTTCCAAGTAGAGCTTCAACATGCAACAAGAAGAAATGAGAGTGAGACAAAACATTTTTTGAGCATGCAATTTATTGAAAACAACGCTTAAACTGAAACAGGATGTTTTACAGCTGATTAAAAGTTTAGGAACACATGCTTTTAAAGGCCAAATCTGTGCAAAAATGTAGATTCATTGTCATTTTCTGTCACATGGTCACACTGTCATGATGTTCTGATGGCAAAGGCAAAAAAAACCTTTTTG